TTTATTTATTTCTCAATACAGAATGGGCATATTGGAACCCATTAAATGCTTTCATCTTTTAAAAAATAAAGGCTGCTCTGAGAGGTGCATGGATAAGGTTTACACCCATTTGAATGACCAACTCTTAACCCTAGTCCAGTAACTTTGCTTATGTTCAAGAAAATCCTTCATCAGTTTAGGAGGCACTGCTCTGCTATGTAACATTATCATCTATGACAAAAGATAATGGTAGGGAGCAGCAGTGTGGCTGACAGCGACAGAAAGCTGCTGGTTCTCTCTACCTGTGAAATCCTACCACAGAAACCACAGTGACAACTGTAGAATAATTTGAAGGCCCAAGTACATCGTGACTTCTCCCAGCAGAGTTAAGGACTTCGATTAGTTTAAGTTATACATTTGTGATCTACTGGGGAGGGGGGGAGGGAGGGAAAGAGCTATTACAACCCAAGGCTAGAACATGAAAAGTAAAGAAGGAAGTACTTAAACTACTCACAAGCTTCTAGTAGGAACAAGATTAGTAGTACATGCTACTCTAGGAGCCAATTCAAATGCAAATTTCATCCTTTCACTCAAACAATGATAAACTACCTCAGAGTTAATAGTTTCCTTCTAAGATTCATCTCCCTTTTCAACTTAGCGGTATGTTTTCGAGAAAAGAAAGAAGCACATGGAGAGTCTTACAGCAAGACCTTTTAAATTCTGTCATAAAAGAAGTAGCATAAACTACATTTCCTTTCCTAATCCAGTGAGCATTTGTTAAACTCTAACATACTTACACTTTGTCCATGCGGTCGCGTTTAGGCTTCTAACTTAGCGTGGTTTTAAAAAACACTCAGAAAGAAATCCTTTAGCTGTACTAAACCATTTCAGCTTTTTCCTTGAACACACAGCAAGAATTTATGCTACACTCACAAAAAGATGAAAGATGAGGTCCTTGGAGAGAAAGGCCTTTTGGCACACTACACGGTAAAGCTACAGATTTGACATACTTTTATAATGTCTGCTTTGGCAAGAACACAAAAACCCCACACAAAAGCATGGTACGTCCTTCCAGACAGGGGTGTAGGGGGTGTTTTACTCTTGTGAGCATTTACTTTCAAATGCTCTTACTTCAGAGACTATTTTGATCGGTTACTTTAGACTAACAAATTCTCTTTTGCTATATGAACAGTTTGACAGTCAGACGACAATTCTCCTCACAGCCCTTTCTAACAAGAGAGAATCTTTGGCTGAAGTCCAGCAACAGCCTTAAATTTGTCACATCCTATTTTTGATGAATGATCTGCAGCAGTTTTAAGATCATAAAGTGCTTTGAAAGTTAAAAGACAAATTTCACATGTAGTAAGCTTTCACTTTCTTTATAAAGGTATTTAAACTAAATTTGCTAGGAGATCCTTTCTACTTCTGCATCTCAAAAAACCCTCACAAAACAATCTTCTGGCTGAGATTAAAAACATAGGAAATAGTTGCAATGCACTTCTCTACAATGTGTCAATAGCACAGAACTGGATATCTAGGAGTGCTTAAGTGAGCTTAACCAGTTATCTTCTGCAAAGGAAACAATAAAAGTTCTTTGTAATTTACTACCTCAGCTTCTGTGAAGTTTCAGTATTATGAAATGCCACAACAAATCCAAAAATCACAATCTCATACAATGCTTTTTTCCTTCCTTTACACATAGATTAAAAATAGGAAAAGAAATCCAGTAAAATAGCAGTATTTCATAAAAAGCTTTTAATTATCCACATCATGGAACAATTCCAATGCATGAGAGCAGATCATGCACCAGAGACACACAACTTACCAGTTTTATTTTGACCCAATATTTCCCTAAAATATTTCATTTTTACAATAAAACCATGGCTATTTTCCCCTCTTTTTCTGAAAGTAAATGTGTGGGAGCTGGTGAGAAGCATTATAATTGCAAAGTTGCTATGCTTGACATACTTCTACCTGACACACACAACACAGATTTCTCACTAGATAAGTTCCATGTACCGTCACTGTGAAAACACAAGCTCTGTTCTAGTTTGCAGCTTCTCACTTTTGCTGAGGAGGCTCCAGGCTCCGGAGCAAAGCACCCCTACAAAGAGGAAACCAGGGGAGAGGAGGTCTCCAGGGATGAACAAGGAGCTCCTGGACAAACTAAGCACAAACAGGCAGCTTCCAGAGGGTGGAAGCAGGGAAACATGGCGTGGAAGGAATGCAGAGGAACTGCTTGACCAGCCAGGCATCAGTTCAGGAAAGCTAAAGCCCTGCCAGAAGTAAATCTATAAATTCTATGAATCAAATCTTAGGATCATAGGATAACTGAGGCAGGAAGGGACCCTGGGAGGTCTCTAGTCCAATCTCCTGCTCAAACACAGGCCAGGTGTGAGGTCAGACCAGGTTCTTCATGGTTTTAAAGCAGTTCAGTCTTGAAAACCTCCAAGGATGGAGATGTACAAGATCTCTTGAGCAGCCTGGTCTAACACTTGACTCCTCGTGGTGAACAGGTTCCCCACATTCACTTAGAATGTCTCTTATCCAGCCATCACTGCACCTTGTCCTCCTGCCACGCATCACCTGGCGAGCCTGGACAGCTCATCCCGATGAACTCCTGGGGTATGGAAGGCTGCTGCTCAGCTCCTGGAGCCTCCTCCAGGCTGGAGCAGCCCAGCACTCTCGTCTCCTCACACTGAAGTGCTTCAGGTCACTCACCACCTCTGCAGCCCTCCATTGAACTTGGTGTGGTTTATTGGTGTCTTTTGTGGAATCCAGAACAGATTTTTCCCTTCGGCAGTTGACTGTGAACTTTAAAATACATTAAAGCTTAAAATTTCAGTTGATACTTCACAGTCACATGGAAACATCCTTTGCTACTTTCTCACCTTTCCAATTTGCTCTCCCATCCCAGCACGGCTGCGTGGGGCTGAGCTGCCAGCTGGGGTCAAGGCATGACAGCCACACCAATTTTCCAATAACAAAATGGAGGCAAGTTTTACCATCCCACAGCCAGATCATCCCCCACACGAGGACAGTTACAGCTTTGGAGCAATTCTTTCTCCTCAAGACCAAGTCAGAAGACTGGTACCAGAATTAAGAGCATTCAAGTATCAATAGCACTATTATACCTATTATACTCGACACAAACTTCAAAAACAGCTGCCTTAGTTAATTTTGGACCAATTAAACGGGGAGAAATAGTTTTAAACCTGCCTGACAATATGTTTCTTACACAACTTTTATGCATTTTACTTTTCTCAACAGTAGCTGCTCCTTGCCATTTAACATACATTTCCCAACTGCAAAAAAAAAGTTAATCTATATTCTTAGGGTTTTGGCATGGAACAGAGAGCCAAAAAGTGGACACAGACTACATGGAGGTTTCTAGGTGTGTAGTTCTGGATGGTGATTTGCCCAGGATACAGTATACAGGTGACACTGCAGAGAACAAGACAACCTTCATTCAGAACAGAAGGACAAAATACTCGGGTATACACAAATCTAAGGCTTCTGAGAATAAAGAACACCTCTTAAGTATAAAAGAATTGGTTGGGGAAAATCTCTTAAAAAGATTCTTCAGAGAGAGTAACTTCAAAATATGTGACCAGTAAAAACAATTTTTAAAATTCTTTTTTTACTCCCTGAAATGAATTTCTGAAGATTTTGCACCTACAAGTGCATACAACAAACCTAAAAACACAACTAAGTGAAACTCCCACAGAATCAGTTGGTTTATAGAACAAAATGTATACTAAATTCTCCAATTAAAAACCTGTAAAGTAGTTTCCGTGCTTTTTAACCCACCTTCCCACAGCAGGGAATTAATCCCTCCAGGGGGATGCAAACAAACTTCAAAGAGAAGATTATACCCAGACACTAGTACTGTACAATGTAATGTTTATGGTCAAATTTGTTCAGATTTTCTGGCACTAGAATCCAGGTCAGATGTGCAGAAACAAAGACCAGTTATTAAAAGGGCTCCTGCAGTTACATCAAATAGTTGTGATGGCACAGAGCAGTAGGACAAGCCAAAACTGTATTCCAGCTACAACTCCTATGGAGGCCTTGGCAGGCAAGGAAGGAGCTGCAGCTATTTGACTTTCACAGACTGTAACAAATACAGATATAGGAGGAGGCAAGTGGCTTTCCAGGCAATAAAACAGAAAACACTGTGTCTACAACACACACGATTGTTTAATAAAAGACAAAAGAAATACTACTTCAGTACATGCTGACTAATCGTAATTATTTAATTTTGATGAACTTCCTTTTTGTATCATTCTAGAGACTGAACTCTCATAACAGTACCTTGAACTAAATTTTGGCATTATGAATTTCAACCTTTGCTTTTCTGCTTATTTGATCAAGTTCCTCAGGTGAGATAAAAGTGCAATCAAAAATTCCCAAATGTACTTACATGTTGGTTTCAGCAGTTATGGGACTTCTCTACCATAAACATGTATCAAAATATGTATCAAAAATAATACTACAGAAAAATACTTGTGTAATTATGACTTGATAAAAATGGTCAAAACAGTTAACAAAATCATAAGCTGCATCCATGACTAATTTCCAGATAAAGTCATTTGATCAAAGCAACAATTCTGGGAGCAGATAAAAATACTTCTGTAGACAAGTAAGAAAGAGGAAGTAAGAACAAATTCCAAACAAAATGTTTTAAGAGTATTTTTTTGGTTTAAAACTACCCCTTTTTACATGAGCAGCAAATACCAATCTGAAAAAGCACTTTTTCAACCTAATCAATAAAAGAGTTACTTATATTTTAGAAGACAAAGAGAGACAAAACAGTCAAAGAAACCTGAAAATTGTCCACAATCAGGTACAGATACATACATTTCTTAGTCCTAACTGTAAAAGATTCCATAGAACCAGTAATTAAGATATTTTTAAAAGCTAAAACAGCATAATGTTAAATATGTTTCATTATCTCACAACGTATGGTTCTCAAGAATAGTTTTAGCCAATAAATAGGTAGAAACAGTGCAAAACAGTACCTTTCCCCATGCAGCTGACTCCTGAGTGGGTCACCTCTGCATACACCTCAAAGGTAGTTTCTGGATTTTGTCTGAAACAAAAGGAAGGTATTTAATACACAGAATTTGGTTGAAGTGCACTTGCAATGAGGCAGTCAGAAAGGTTCTCAGCATGCACACAGTACAAGAACAACTAGAGAATCTCCAGTTCTTGCTTTACAGCCTTGAAGGATTTCTCATCAGACCTCTGTAATGTGCTAAATACAGGGATTTTTTCAGGAAAAAAAAGTATTGGGAACTTTTCACCAATAGTCACATTGTCCAACACTAACAAACAGCACCCAGATGCACATTTTCATTACTGTGACTCCTGAGTTCAACTTCATGACATCTATTTGCCCAGGAAAAGTTGTGGGGGAAAAAAAAGTAGGTGCAGTCAAGAGCAGGCAAAATCACTTTCTGCACACACTACTGAAAAACTTAAGAGGCTGTATTTAGGATGAAGACAGCCTTTTTAATACCTGTCAAAATATTTCTACCTCTTTGCCAAAAAAAGGCCATGCTGGAGAATATTACAAATGCACGAGGTTTGGTCTCACGAGACTCCGGAGTCTTAACTCCAGAAATTTGCCAGATGCATGGAAATAAGTGTGACAGTCAAAAACCATACCTAATTGAGCCAGAAGATGTAAATTATGCTTGAGGAAAGAGATTTACTTTGCTCAAGAGTTATAAATATACCAGTAGTAAAAGTACAAAGTTAATGATATTACTACAAAACAAACAAACAATTTAGTGCACATTTTCAGTTCTTACTAATTTAACTCTCTAAGTGACGCTCTGGAATTACATCTTGTAGTGAGTATGCAAAGGCAGCAGGTAATTATATATGAAAGAATATTTTGACTTAATTCCTGACTAACAATTTTAGCTACTCCAGATATTTTTTATGAGATTAAAAAGACTGTAATCCTGAAATAAGGATTTTGCAGGTCTGAACATATGACACTTTATTCTTAGCCTTTCTGGTTAAAATCAAGAATGAAAATTGCATAATTACTGTTCCAAATTTACAGCTGCTTGCATAGTGATAATATTGTCTCCTATGTGTTAATGCAAGCTAACATTAGAAAATTGCTGTGGTATAACATACTTGTGAATTTTGCAACTTCCTTACAGCTAAGGACGAAAATAATGACAAAACCCATAAATATATATGCTAGAATTCCTAACTGAATGATAATTTAAAAATTAAACTCATCTTACCCAACATTTCAAACCAAATATATAAGCATGTCAAGAAGTTCAGCTTAACTCTTTGGAGAATTTCTATTATTTTTAATCCTGCTTTAACACCAAAAGGATTAAGGAAAACATTTCTAGCCATGCCACAGGCCCACTTAGCCTAACTCAAGTGGCTCTAAGCCAAACTCCACACCTATTTAAACTGACAGAAAAGCCACCACTGCTTTCAGTAGCCCGGGATCACACTCCTCAGTTTTACAGAGCACCTCTCAGGAGCAACAATGGTTCACAACTCAATTAATGGTAATTTAATTTGCCACCAGTTCCCAACTGATTTGTCTTAAGTAGCTGTTTTTTCAGAAAACTACACTCATAAGTTATGAGAAATCCAAAGTCAGCTGTTATTGTGCAATATAAAAGCAAACTTGCACAATTCTCCCAGCGCTACTCAGGCTGCAGCACACAACCTGCAGATCCTGGGGTTTAGCTCCACTCCTACAGCCACACCACGGGCTGAGGATGGAACCACAGCCACAGAGCACCAGAAATGTACTTTTCCTTCTATACACATCGCTGGGCAGCCTTATCATACCCTCCTTGTTTGTGTCTTTATTTTTAGCACTCTGTTTCCTTAATTAAAAGTTTATAAACTTTAGATTTTTACAGCTAATGGTTAAAACAACAAACACCTTTTTAGTATTATGTTAGAACCCAAGTTCAAATTCTTAAGTGAAAGCAGCGGGCAACACAGCTGGCAGGAGCACAGACTATATTCCAAAACTTTCCGACAAAAAGACATCACATTTTGTATTTTAATTTTCCATGACAAACGCCCATTTATTTCCATGAACAGTGAAATTAAAGCAGCCTTCCCAAGTGAGAAACTCAGTATTAAAGGCTGCATTCAACAACCAACACCTCAGTATGAGAATGAAGTCATTGTTGGATTGTGGATATTTTATAACTTTTCAGAGGCATTAAGGAAACAAGTCACCATGAGACTTCATACAGTTTGCAAATACAGCAAAAACATGATCAGAAATGTGTATTCTGTAGTCCAATGTCACCTGAGAATTGCACAGAAACCCCAGCCCCAGCATTCCTCACAGCACAAGAGCCTTGAACACACACCAAGTTTTCCTCCCTCCCAAAAATCACTTATGGACCCATGGTCACTTACCAACTGAACAATAAGATGCAATTAAAAAAAATACACAGGACACAGAGGTACAAAAAGACATAGTACCTCACTTATTTGAGAACTAGGTTATTTCAGAAGGAAATGCAGTACTTCTTTGTAAACACTAACTTAGGAAGGAGCTGTATGAGATAATAATACTTCTGTGATAAATGCTAGTTGTATGAATTGCTTCAAATCTCTGATCTAGAAATAACATCCATTTCAAAGCAATCAATATGAAATTCAATTTTACACTGAAATAAGATATTTCAAATAAGATATTTATGCACATTTTATGATCAAAAATGTAGTTTTTTACCAAACTGTAAAGATTTATTCAGAATAAAATTAAATTAAGCCCTTCTCCGAAGGTGGATGGCTGGAAGTACATACTTTACATATCTACAGCCTATTTCAGTTCTGTCAGGAGCATTTTTGGTACACACAGGAAAATGCAATAGCACTTATGACAGAAAGTATCATTCTGCTGAAGAACTGAGGCATAAGAAAGGAGTCTGACATTGCCTGATAATTAGTTGTCCTGTAACAAGATTTAGTTGCTCAACTCTTGCAGAAAGTCAATTATTAGCAGAAACCTGTAATCACTAATTCAATTCAGAAACTATAACCAAAGCCTTGATTAATTCCCATATATTTAACTTTTGTGCCTGGCATTCCCTAGGTAGATAATATTTCATCTTAGTATATAACAAACATTCTGTTAAATCTCTGAAAGTTTTCCCCGATGTGCACTTGGCACCTATTGTGTCACCAGTGAAACAGAACCACCTCTGGAAAGGGACATGCCAACTGCTTTTACAGTGCAGTGCCACTCTGCTGAGCATTGAGATTGACACATTAGCTAAGAGAAATAAATAAGAAATCCTTTCTGTCTTGTCACGTGGAGTACCAAGGCTCGGGAGCAGTGACAGCAGCAGGTTAACAAGGCTCCTATGCCACCTCACCTGGCTGGCACAGAGTGCCTGGCACATTCCCTGAGACTGCCCGACAGAGGATTAACCCAGCACTGTAACCCAACACTCAATTTGGCTTTGTTTTTTGCCTGCAGCTATACAGAAGCCAAAAGCTTACAGAACTGCTGGCAATTCTTTGATTTCTTTCACTTCAGTCTGATGCAGCTAGTGATACTTTTCTCTAAGCAATCTTTCACTCAAATGACTCATTATTATTCATCCATCAGAAATGTAACTGACAGATATGCCCAGGTTTCATGCAGAGTCTATCACAATGCATGCAAGGGATCCTGTGCCAAGCAGTTTAATATCCCTCAGTTATCAATCTACTGCAAGAAGCAAGGGATCTCTGCTGGATGTTTACTGGGGCTCCAGCACATACTGGTGACACCCCTAAAGGAGATGTGCCTCACCCTACCCAGTTAACAAACAGTTCTCCATTCACACTTCCAACCTGTCCCAATAAGGAAGTTACTTACCAACATTAAAGTCTTTGCTGGATTAAACTTCCAGCTCAGAAAGTCAGACAGGCTCTCTCACTCTATATATTTTAAGACTGTTTTGAAATTTTGTCCTTACACTACTTGGTAATAGTGTTCTGTCCAAAGTGGAAAAAAGCAGTTTATTAAGTGTTGCTCAAGGCAAAGTTGCTTAATCACTCAGTGGACAAAATGCTTTCTCACAAAGTCCAAGAAGAACGAAAAGCAATGTTTACCTGGGTTTATTACCTCTGCTACTCTGGTGATTGGGAAAGATGGAGGTTTTATCTGCAGTCTTGAAAGACAAGTTCACACTGAAAGACTTAGCACAGAAAAAGTCCTTTAACTCCGCTGGCTGCACTAAGTATTTCTAACAGCTACATCTCCCTGACACAAGTTTCTAGTTGGAGCATCTCACCTGCTTGATGACATTCTCATTTAGTCTACTCAAGTACAGTCAGCAACCATAAACCCAAAGATGGCAAACACAGCCTGTGGACTCAACAACAAGCTGCATTTAAAGTAAGCATCAACCTCTTAGTAGACTTAAGATAAGATCATCGTAAGAAATCATTTTGGATCATTATCTTGAAGTGATCCAAGCAAGAGTGACTGCTGCAGGGTCTGAAGGTGCAAGTCAGAGACGCAGCCTGCTCTGCTGCCAAAATACATAGTTTTCAATTCTACCTGTATTTGACTGTAAGTGTTTAACCAGTTTCTCAGGCTTTCACTTCTCTGCAGCAACAGCTGAGAACACATACTCCAAAAAGGTGCAAAACTCATGCCCACAGTATGCTTAAGGAAGGAAGAAAGGTTCATTCCTTTCTGGGACCAACCAATTGTCACAGTGCTACCATTGCAAACACTCATTATCCGCTTACATTTTCCTAAAACAGCCGGCTGAAAAGACACGTTTTCATCCATCCAGCCTATGGGCTTGGGAACATGAGACGTGTCATCACACAAACTATGTCCCCTCCAGTCTTGTATTCATGTTAAACAAAACAAGTGAAAAGTTAAAGACCAATGTGATCCTGAAGAACACTGTGTTCAAGAAGGAAAAACAAGCGCTCAACAGCATCTGCTGAATAAAACAGGATCTACGTGAGTCTCTCCATTCTATAACCCTTTCACACAGAGATGTCAGCACTCCCTGCTTGGCAGTAGCTTTATTACACCTCTACATGTGTCCAAGGAACTGAATTTTCCTGGAATGGCACATGAACAAACTGAGACTTTTAAAGTGACTATACGAAACATACCAACAAGGCTTATCAATAAATCAACCACCAGTTTTATGAAAATGAAAAAAAAAAACCCCTAACACTGAAGGCATGGATGTGCAGGCCCAGCACATCACTCACTTGAATCACTCCTCTCCTTCCCCCAAACCCTCTGCTGATGCACTTTGGCTATCTCCTAACCAGACTGTTGTCCTTCCGTCAGCACACTCTACCCTGGGCAAAGAAATTGGCACTCCCTCGACCCCTCCACACCCCCGAACAGGCGTCGGCAGTGCTGGCAATGGAGATGTTCCCAACACAGCACCCCCGCCCTCCCTCAGGCCTGCACCGATAACACTGCTCTGCCCTCGCCGCCCGGCCCGGAGAGCGGGAGGGGCAGCGGTGTGAGGCAGGGTGGGCTCTGGCCCCTCTCCTGGGGCAGGGCCGGAGGGTTCCGCCGGGGTCCCGCCCGGAGTTGGGCTCGGACGGCCCGTCCTGCCCGTCCCTCCGGCCGGCGGGGCAGGGAGCGCTCTCTCCCGTTCCTTCTCCCTCTCCTCGCCCAGCCCGAGGCCCGCGGGCTCGGCCGGGGTCCCGCCCGCGCGGCCTCACACGGAGCGGAGGGAGGGCGGGGAAGTCAGTCCCCTTCTCGCTCTCCCGAGGGCCTGGAGCGGGGCTGGAGAGCGGCGGAGGGCACTCACTTGATCCTGGATCCCATGGTCTCCGGGGGGCCGCATAGACCCGGGGCGGAGCGAGACACGGCGGGGGCCGCAGGGCCGCGCTCTGTCCGCCGCTCGCCCCTCACTCCATCCCGGCCCGCGCCGCGGCGCCCCGGCCGAGTCACGGCGCGGGGACTGCCGGGAGCTGTAGTGCAGGACTGGCGGTGTGTCCCTGTCTGGGGCAACCGTCAGGGGAAGGACCGGGCTCTGCTCGTGCCGCCGAGCCAGGGAAAACAGGCAACGGGAAGAAAGAAACTGATGCACAGCGAGTTCCACCCGAACACGAGGCAGAATTCCTTCACTGCGCGAGTGCCCGAGCACTGGAACAGATTGTCCCGAGAGGATGTGGAGTCTCCCTCACGGGGAATATTCCAGAACGGTCAGGACACAATCCTGTACCGTGTGTTCTCATGAGTGTCTGGGCAGGGAGGCTGGACCAGATGCCCCAAAAAGTCCCTTCCTACCCGACCTATCCTGTGTTTCTGTGACTGCGGCCGGGAGCGCCGGGGGCCGGCAGTGGCAATGCGGAGTGGCCCCGCTCCCCTCAGGGAGATTCAGGAGGGAGCCCCGCACCCGCTCCCCTCAGGGAGATTCAGGAGGGAGCCCCGCACCCGCTCCCTGCTCCCCTCAGGGAGATTCAGGCAGGAACCCCCGGTGGACGGGCCCGCTCCCCTCAGGGAGATTCAGGCAGGAACCCCGCGGCGGGACCCCGCTCCCCTCAGGGAGATTCAGGCAGGAACCCGGCGGCGGGACCCCGCTCCCCTCAGGGAGATTCAGGCAGGAACCCCGCGGCGGGACCCCGCTCCCCTCAGGGAGATTCAGGAGGGAGCCCCGCACCCGCTCCCTGCTCCCCTCACGGAGATTCAGGCAGGAACCCCGCGGTGGACGGGCCCGCTCCGCTCAGGGCGATTCAAGCAGGAACCCGGCGGTGGGACGGGCCCGCTCCGCTCAGGGAGATTCAAGCAGGAACCCGGCGGTGGGATGGGCCCGCTCCCCTCAGGGAGATTCAGGCAGGACCGGCCGCGCTCCTTTCAGGCCTCCTCAGCTGCCCGCCGCGTTTAGCAGCTGAAGAGCGGCCTGGAGTGACACCGAACAGCAGAGCCAGGCGGGACTGATGGGGCCAAACCGCTTGATGCCGAGCCCTGAATATCCACTGATATCTAGATGAGGAGCAGGACTGCCCGTCTTGGAAAACCCCGTGCAGAGGGGAGCCGTCCCCATGGGCACAGGCCGGAGTCTCAGGCAGGAACAGGATCCAGGATGTCCAAGGATTGCAAAAGTCAAGGAAAGAGGCAGAGGGAGGGGCTGGGAGGGGTGCCTGGCAGAACTGTGACACAACATTGAGCACTGTGGGCACAGAGACCAAAGCAGCTGAAAAGACAGTAAAACATGACTAGAGAGAATCTCAAGGTCGTAAAGGAGACTAGAGATTTCTCAGAAATGGAATGCAGTCTGCTGAAAACATGTCTTACATTGACTCAAAAATCACAGATAGACACCTCATGAAACGTGCCGTGTAGGAGTTGTCAAGCAGGAACAAACAGGTAACCAAGTATTTCATTAAATGTGATTTACAGGAAGTTTTCAGGAAGATTTGGAGCATTTCTAGTACAATGTAGCAATTTTTAACTTTTATTTAGAGTTGAGGATGATCTACAGTGAGGAATGAAAGAACTGAAAATTTGTCTTTAAAAGTCCTCCAAAGTGCAGATCATTGTGGACACCAAGTGCTTGGCTGAAGAACTTAGTCAGCTAGAACGATGGGAGAGAGTATATCCCATCTGAGATCCTTTAATATCCCATTTGCTCCCCAGAGGGCCTGGGTAGGAAAAATCATACCACCCTCATTCAAGTAATAAATTTAAAACGTGTTAAACACTATGCAAAAAGTCCTGGAAGGTTTATTCACAGTTACAGTAAGTCAAAGACATGTTTGGGGAGGTGAGGAGGAGTGTTTCTGGTACTAATTTGAGTACTTGAGGTGCTCCCAGCACAGGTTCCACCCACAGCCTCTGCCACAGCAGCCATGTGTAAGCTCAGAGCTCAGCGTGGAGCCCTGCCTTGTTCTGTGCTGTGGATATACCTGTCCCCAGCCCTGAGCCGTTCTTTGATCTCTGGTGCTGTTCGCTGTCTCGTTCAGTCATTCCCATATCCATGGAAAGTAGCTTTGTCACCAAAATTACTGTGTTCAGACAGGGATATTCTAACCCTTTAAACATATCGGCGCACCAAGGGTTGCACATAAAACCATCAAATGGTGGTGAGTTTAGAAAAATACTGTTAAAATCGGTTGCAAAAGTAAAAAAACCCTATGGTCAGTAAGGAGTTAAAGAATAAGGAAGCTGGTAAACACAATGCTGATGCAGTGTAAAATAAGTGTGGAAAACCCCCAGCATTTTAGGAGTGGCTAACGGAATTTCTTACATTTCATCACTGTTACATTTCATCACATGTTCCTTTTTTGGAACATGGATTGACGTTAAATTTAAGAGGCAGAACTACAGACTCACAATTTTAGTTTTGGTCTGGTTTTTGTAGTGAGCTTTTTAACGATTTAAAGGTAAATTATTAATATGAACAGATGTAGTAAATATTTAATGGGGACATGTATGCAAGAGTAGTAGACTGGTTTATATTTGATAGTTTTTAGACTGGACATACTAAGGAATAAAAGTCTGGGTGATTCAAATGAGCAATGTAAACCCTCTCCTGGAGAAAGTGAGTGTTTGGGAAGAATGCATTCAGCCCACTTTGGGGAAAACAAGATATAAAGGTGGATTCTGTGAACTGGACTGGATAACTGAGGTGGTGGATGAACTGATAGTGGCTGGTAACTACGAAATGTCAGGAAAAACAGAGTTGGGCAACTTCATTTAACTATGTCTTGGTGAGATATGTATTTTGTAGGTGTCTGATTTGTAATGAGCATATTTTCCTACCCCAGGGAAGAATTATAATGGCAACCTCATGTTGGTATCTGTTCATCAACAGTTTCTCAACCGGGGTCTCGTGCAGGTGTCTGCCTGAACTTTTGAGCAGGAGATAATACACACGTGGGCCATGTGATAAGTGTGAGATAATACATTTGAAAAACAATGTTGTGGTGTGTTTCAGGAGGAGGATTACCTACATCAAATTCACAGTTAATAAAGATGGGTTTAATTAATAAAAATAAATGGGAATGTGTACGGAAAATTGTGAGGTTCTGTCCTTGCTGAAGAAGACGCACCTAATGGGTCTGGCAACATGCAAATTCAGTCTGTGGAAGCTCTGTTTAAAAGACTGCCTAATAAAACAGGTGTGAGCTTGTAAATCTGGTAATGCTAAATCAGAGGAAACCAGAAAGGTGAGGACAGGATGAGTGCGCAGAATTTTTTCTACTTAAAAGACAAAACAGATGCTAATATGGAATTTGTACTGTGCTTTCTAACTGTATTTTATATATATGAAGCAGGCAACGTCAGGTATATTCCAGAATTCACAATACAGAACTTACTTGTACTCCCCAAATGTTGATAATAAAATAGGAGAATTCATTCAAAATCTCAGTTGAATACACACTGAATATTTAAATATTTGTTCAAATTGTGAAAACTATATTTTCTGTGGAAAAGAAAGCGAGAGGGAAAATGTTAAACATAATGTAGATGTTCCTGTTCAAGTGCAGGAAATTTTTCTCTCTATCTACCTAATAATAATTGATGTTCCAAGCTGTAGAACTTTTTCCCCCTGCTTTACCTGGTGTGTTCATGTAAATAAGCTGCTCATTAGGTAGCCCAAATCCCATTTTCTGCAATTGTCGATGCCCCCCCGTTTGCAGCTGGCCCAATGGCTGATGTAATTGTGTCCCGGTGACAGGCCAGCAGGGACAGCAAAGCCCCCGAGGACAGCGAGGGGTTCCAGCAATGCCTGCTGGCCTGGCCACCGAGCCCTGGGTGTGAGAGGCTCAGAATAGATGAGCTGATTAACTGTGAATCGCCCTCCCAGAAGAGATGAAGCATTAGTAGCAAACAAAAGGGAAGCAGAAGGGAAACTTCAGGCAGAAGAAAATAACCCAGGAATTAAAAGCTTGGTGAAAGCCTTAGGATGCTTCCAGATTGACCTGAGCATCTAAGTTCAATGCCATAGAAATAGATGTCTGATGCTCTAGGATGGGTTTGGTGAATGTAGCTGAGCCTGTATTTTAATATATAACACACAGCAACAAATGCACAAGAGAACACAGTTACTGTTTCTGCTCCGCCATGACAACCCTGCTGAAGCACAATGTAACCTGAATTTACTGGGGACATTCTCCCTGCTGCATTTCAGCCAATGAGAATGGCAAGGGAAAATGCTGACTTTAGAGATCAATAGTAAAGCTTCCTCTAAAAGGTTATGCCTTGGAAGAGAATATCCTGCTATCTGACTAATATTGATTATAATGTTCATGTACGTTTTTCCTAATTTGTCAGTGGATGAATATTAGGAAAAATTCTACCCATGTTTAGGAACCAATGAAAAGCTTATTAAAGATATTTTTAGATGTGAAGCAGAAGTTACTTCATCAACCTTAATTTCATAATTCTTGTTGTTATCAAACAATGAGCCTCATGAGTTATGGATCAGGTCATTGCAAACAGCCTCCAGAAGTGTTCACATATGTTACTTGAGAAAAAAGCCTGTTCTTAATGCTCCCAGACTGGGATTCATCAGGCATTGTTAGGATAGCTGGTTACCCTCAGAGACATTCACTTATGCCCTGAAACAAGAGAGATGTTTAAATCAGCCTGTATATACCTGTTTGTGTGGATGGAAATAGGTTACATTGACTAGTATTCCATTACAAGTTAAGGAACAATAATCTGTAACTGCATAGGGTGAAACAGATCTTTAGAAAATACAGAAGAAAACATAAAAGCCAAAAAACGGGAAAAATCCCCACCAAAATCAGTTACAAGAACATAACCAAAGAGTAAATCAAAAGCATTCTGTCTCCAAAACTGGATGCTGGGAGATGTTTAAGGAAGAGTGTAAGAATGTGAAAATATGTAGAAGTCTCTCACAGCCTCCAATAAATTAGTGTATTTCTCAGCCACAGATGCTGCTTCAAAAGAACAGCTTTTGTGGGCTCAGGCACTGGGCTCCACTTGGGCAGCGAGCTGAGCCATTGAGCACAGCTCGTGTTGACTGTCACCAATCATTGCCTGCTTTTCCATGTGCCTCGGCACAGTTTCCAAGAGGTCTGCTCCATGATGTTGTCCAGCACAGAGGTGAGACTGATTATCCTGCCTTCCCATCAGTGGGAACATCGTTGGAT